CCCCAAAACCCCAAAACCCCAAAACCCCAAAACCCCAAATTAGTTCAAGAGCTTGAATCAGATAATACTAATAAAATTAATTGATCCCTTGGCATCAGTATTGATATCTATCGTACATAAGAGTTCTCCAATTGTCTTGTGATTGATAGATTAGCTGATCGATGAAATCTCTACATCTCTGTCTCGACATAATTGTTTCAGTTGGGAAAATTCTTTGTTTTACTTCTTTGATAATTTGCTCCATTCCTCCAGAAAATCAAGGAAGATCTAGTTGTCCCATTGCCATCATTTCTATAAGAATGATGATTTTGTCTGCGTTCTTCTGAATTGCAGTAAATCCTTGGCACATGTATTTCTTGAACTGTTTAAAAGTCTTTGATTGAAGTCCTCCAAGCACGTCTAAGTACTCTGTCGTGAATTTGAAAGGAGCCTTTTCTAACTTAAGGCCTTTACCAGGTGCGATAGATAACAGAAATCCAAAATCTATATGAATGATATGCCCAAGGTTATCCAGCATTATATTCCCATTGTGCCTATCTTTGATTTGTAATATATAACACAGCAAGGAGTAACCTGCCAATGATTTTGCAAAATTATATCTAGCTTCTCGATACAGAGTACTTCTTTGACCTCCAAAATTATAGAGGAAGTAATCTTTGAGTGTAGACATTCCGGATGGAAGTGCTTTCTTAATCTGATCTATGCTCATAGAATCCTTTAAACACACCATAATTCCACATCCATTATCTGTTGCCAAAATTTCATAAGGTTTGAGCCAGCAATCTACACCTTGCACTTTGAAAATTTGGGCCATCAGGTCAATGATCTGCATGGCAAATTGTTCTTGCCTCAGGTCATCCCCGGATTTGACTATCATTTTCATTATTTTCCAAGTTTTTAAAGATCCAAATACAGATGCTTTTCTTAGTCTCTCACTTTGTTGCTCAAAGGTTTCTTTGAACAAGAAATTAGTTGGCTGTTTCATTGATCTTTCAGTTTCTCCTTTTGGCTTTCTTGTAAAAGACCCCTCATCATCATCTCTTTGAGATAGGATATCATTTAGATTATTTTTAGAGTAATAGTTGCTATCATCGTCGCTATGATTCTGCTCCCTGCCCTCTAAAACTCCCTGAGTCTTCTGCTTTCTTGGAGGTTCTCCTGTTTTCGCTTTAGACAGTTTAATGGGAGAGGCAATAACAGCAGGTGAGCTATAATTCGACATGTTTAATTGCTCATCCTCTTCTATGCTTGAGCTTCCCATGAGGCTTAAATTATGATAATCATCTTTATCTTCTTCGGCTCCTGCAAATGATCCTCTGTCAAAACTTTTGTCTTCTTCATTCTCTGAAATTCTTGGAGTTGCATCATCAAGTAGGAATCTTTTTACTTGCTTCTCAACTTTTCCAATGTTATCATGAGCTCCCTTAAGCGTGTCTCTGACTGTAGGCTGGTTATCCACAAAAGAGATGAACAAAGGCTTAGATATTTTCTCTTCTGCTTGAGTTTCAATCCTTTTTGTTGGGGCTTGGTACACAGAATGACTTTTGCCTCTCCTAGTAGCAAAAATATCATCAGTTTGTTCAGCAGGAATTAAAGGTTCATCATAATCGCTTAAGTCTGCACTTTCTCTACGAATTCTTCTCTCGGTATTTGAGTGTTTTCGAATTGCTTTATCTTTATAAGGAGATTCAGTAGGAGTTATCATTGACATTTCATCTGGCCTGTACATTTCAATGGTGATCATGTATGGACATCTTGTCTTTGTCTGGAATACATGAACTTCTTCAGGATGAATGTGCAGCACAGCATAATTCCTCAGAGAATCTTGACAGAAAGGAATGTAGACAGAAGCAGGCAAGTGTTGATTAAGTTTCCTCAATTCTCTCTTAAGTGCAGCTTTATTTGTCTGCCTCCTTTGAGATCAACTCACTAATATCGGTTAGGTACTTAATAAATCTTGGAGTTGAGAGGTAAGCATTGAATTTCTTCTGATTAACATTTTTCATCATCGGAACTGACTCTCTCATATCCTGATCGTAATTTTTGCTTCTTATATTTGAAATGAACGGTAGCAAAATAATATCTTTCACTGATATCGGACTAGAGACAGGAGAAGTTCTTGTTATTTTTGATTTGTCACCAACTTCAATATATTCAGCAACCATTGATTTGACTTGCAAGAATCTCTCTTTAGCAAGAATGCTGTCCTCATTTGACTGCAAGTATTTGTCCAATGAAGGATCTAGAGGTCCAATTGAATCATTAATCTTACCTTGTGCTTCAACTGGAGATGAATCGAGAAGGTTAGAGTACAAGGTATCCATTCTCAACCTCTTAATATATTTTATAAGGTCTTTAGAGTTTGCTAAATACAGAAGGTTCTCATCAGCTTCATATTCTCAAGTAGCCTCCATTTCTTGAAGAGCAGCTAAGCACTCAGACCGAACATCTTGAGATCCATCTGTGGAAATAACAGCTTTAAAGAAGAAGTATAGTCGATGGGAGAAGAAAAAGCTTGTGTTACATGCTGATGTTAATAACCCAAGCAATTTACTTTGCTCTTCAAATTTTCCTCTCAGATAGAAAGAGCATATTTCAGGGATGAAGAATTCCAAATCACTTCTGAGATAATTTGTAAAGTCTGGGTTGATCCTGCACTTTGCTAACTCGTCCACAGTGTTTTCTTCATGAGCATATAGGTTAGTAAGCGTATCAAAAATATGCTGATGATCATCAGATGTTGTATTAGGATGAATCTTTCTATCTTTCACTTTCATCCATTTTCTAAAGCGAGAGACAAATTTGGCTTTCCCTTCCTTAATGTTTTTACTACTATATCATAGGCATCATCAGAAGGAGTAAAATAATCAGGATGCGAAGCATCCTGATTTTGATCCTCCATCTTCCTTATCACTAATTGGAGGAACTACAGTTGTCAGGTCTCCTGCTATAGTATGCTCTGATTCACTTGCCTCGTTCTTTTTCTTTCTTTCCATTAATATTATATTGTATTATTCAAGCAAAAGATGATAGTAGGGGTTTTGGGGTTTTGGGGTTTTGGGGTTTTGGGGTTTTGGGG